ATAGGCAAGTTTTTGGTACATATTGTGTCGTTACGTGAAAAAGGAAGGAGTCTTGAGGAATGGAACTGTGGTCCCATATCGTTATGTTAGAAAAGCCTGAACAAGGTGTTTTCCTCTTTTGAGCGAAATAACTGATTTTATGGGAGAAGAGGAGTAAAGCTTTTCCTCGTCTTTTTTGAGTCAAATTTATTTTATTCATGCATGCCTCCTGACACATTGAGCTCGTTTTGTACTTTTATGCAGAGTTCAAGTTTCTTACCTCTTTGTAAGAAAACTTCTTTAAAACTTGTTGCAGCACTTGAACAGGGATTTCGTAGCGGCTTCTTAATACAACCTCTCGAACATGTATGGATGGTGGAGTACTATGTCTATAAAGTGATGGACTACCTTGAGATAATGTAGAAGAGCATGTTTTAGAAACTGACCAGCGTTGTAAGAACACCTGTATTAGCAAAATAAAAAGAATAGGCGAGTAATGACAAAAGTCTTCACCTTTCTTTTTCAGCTTTGTTTTGCACAAGAGTTTCTCGATCGCTTGATTCGGAAGCTGGCGTTAATCTAGAAGAGGCTGAACTTTGCTCGCGACTGCACCTGTCTTCGTCGATGCTGCTGCCAGTTTTGATGGTTTTGCTGTAAACCATTCCATAATCTCCATTGACACCAAAAGCCTTCTTTTTTGTCGTGTCTTCAGCTCTTTGTTTTTCATCTTCTTCGGGAATCCTCTCCATTTTTTTCGGCCTAATTTCATTCTTACCTAGATTATCACTAATATTATTTAGCCTCATAGTAAACGTAGTGCTGAAATCGCCGTCTTTAACAGCAACATTGGAGTTCGTCTCACTGGTTGCACTAACGTTATTCTCAATGTTGGATTCAACTTTTAGTTGAAAATTTCGTTTCTCACTTCCAAATTTGTTGGGCTGTTCAATATATACTGAGCCTATTGAAAAGTTTTCTGTTGTTGAAACCGTATCGTTCTTTTGAGATTTTTCGTTATCAGAATCTGCTATTGAAATACCAGAATCAGCGCCAGAAGCTTCACCGTTAGTGCTATCGTTTTTGAGCGATTCGTCATTCGTTTTGGTTATTTTGTCGGGTCCAATCTTTTTAACACCATTCAGTTGCTTCTCTTTAACCTCACCATTGGTCAACGATTGGGAATCTTTTGGAATGATTTTTTTGCGGATAATTTTTGTACCAGACGACGATTTTGTGACTTTAGTTGTAGTTGTCGCTGCAGATTTATCTGAAGTTTTTTTCACTGTAGTTTTTTTAATGACTTTCGGCTTCGGTGGAGAATCTATGCATGCCGGTGCAGTAGATATTGGAGCCAGCCAAACGGAACTCTTTTCTGTCAAATTTTTAACGCCCTTGGTTTGCGGTGAAAATATCGAGATGGTTGAAGTGTTTTCTTGAAGTTCGATAGCGACAAAACACCATTCAGTCCCTATAGCCTTGTTGAAGTATTTTTGTATTGGACTACGCCAGTCATCACCTCCCTCGAGTACCAAGTGAATCGTATCTGCAGCAGTGCTGTCGGTTACCACATCTCCGTCCTGAAAAAAATGTATTCCATTAACTGACTATTAGGTCTTCAGCATTCTACGGTTTTCAATACTTTAAATGTTAAGGTCTTACAGCAAACATTGATCTATTTATCGTGGGAAAACTGTTTGTTTTTTTATTTTAAGTATGATTCACATTTTTTATGATGATTAGCTGCCATTAATACAACGGAGTGCTAAAATAACCCTTTTTTTTCCACTAGTGGTTAAAAACTTAAAAACTAGGTCGAAAAAAGGCTATTTTCGCGATTGTTAGTTGCTGAAAAAAAAAATCAAAGAAGAAGAGGTTATGAGGCATAACGAAACATTAAAAAACAATCTAGCGTGGTAAAAATTAGTTAAATTTTACCGGAAGACTAAAAAAAGTAAAATATTAATTAATGAATGTCATAGAGAATACTAGAATAAGCAGAGAAGAGAAGAAAATAGAAGATGGGGAGAGGGGAGAATGGGTACGAGTTGAAAATTTATTTGCCGAAAACAAGTTGCTTAGTCTAACCGGTGGTCCCCAAATAGCACAGTCCAGTTAGGGTAGAGTAAAGAGCGCAAAAAGCAATTCTGTCTTTCAGTTATTCTGCTTAGCGCTGTTGTCACTTAACCGTTCCCTGTATACCTGTATACATTTGTCCATCCACCTGATGTTTAATTTAAAGAACTTTGATTTTGCCATCATTTATATGTGCAAGAAACACGTTTTGCAGCTCTTTAGCTCAAAATGTATCAGAAAATTTCTGCCATCTTTCAAAGAATTCCTAAAACATCTGTCAAACAAATAGTGTTTATAAGACAGAAAAACGACAAAAATACACACCATACTGTAATAGCAACAGATCAAAGCTGTAAAACTGTT